CTCTTTCAAACCGAGGAGGGGAAAGGAAAATTCACAAGCTTTCATTTCTCAAGGAAGGGTTAAAAGTCTGAACTCCCAGGATGGCTCGATGCCCAAACATCCAGCAACTCCCACACACTGGGCACCTTGCAGCTCCCCCCCGCTCCTCCTTCCTTGCGGCTTTCTCTCTCCCTCTCGGGAGAGCAACTCTGGGGGGGGGGGAAATGGAGACATCCCAGATTTCTTCCACCCTTCCATCTGCAGGGGCCAGCCCGGTTCCAGTCCTTCCACCCTTGGGGCCTACCTTTCAGGCCATGGGGGCTTCCCCTCCCCCACCCAGCTCGTGGCTGGGCGGGGGAAGGTCTGCACTGCACGCTGACCGGAACCAAAGAGAGCGAGTTCCCCTGGGAATTCTGCTCTCAACCCCTCTGTGTTCTCAGAGGCGTGTCTACTTTCAATTGGTCAATATCTAAATTGACCTCTTCCTTCCGGAAAAAATTATCTTTCCGTGTCAAACCACGACAATGGGAAACAGTGAAAGTGGTTGAAAATTGAAACATTATCAGAAATAAAAATGAGGGAACTAAGTACTTGGAGCCAATTATAGTTAACACATTTCAACAAAATGTATTTGTGGTTTGTCTGTCTGCTGTAAACAGCATTTTCCTCAGTCTGGTGAAAGCAGCAGATTTGGATGATGTTCTATCACAGCCTGGACAGTGGACTCTGTTTGTCCCAACTAATGATGCCTTTAAAGGTTTGACTGATGATGACAAGGATATACTGATAAGTAAGTAACATGAAAAACCTGGAATTATGAGCAAATTAAAATTGATTGGAAAGGAGACTAATGCACATCTCACACAAAAGCTGTCTGCTGAAGCAGTTTACCTTTTGCATACAGCAGGTCATAGGAATCCTCTAAATTACTTCCTTTTTGGGCATAAAGGAAATGTCTTTTTGGAAAAAAACTACAACCTGATTTTTAAATTTAAATTTCACTCTTCAATACCTTATTCTATATTGTTGCTTCCTTCTATTATTTTTGTTTTTAATTCAGAACTTAAAGTTGTTCAAAGCCAATGCCATATTGGACAATAAATTGTCTTGTTAACTACAGAATTATTGTAGTTAACAGTAATTAACTGCCCTTCTGCTTTTCCAGGAGCTTTATGGACCAATTTGTTGTTTTTTTTTCCTATCATTGTGATTCAGTTACTTAATGCTTTCCTTGACCTTCATATATTTTTTTTTCTGCAGGTTGTTTTTTTAATTAATTTTGTGCCACATTGGTTTCTAGAATTCTGTCTTGTTTTTCTTTTATGTTATTATGTTGCTTTCTCCGTAAAGATTAAACCTTAAAGTATATAATTTTTTAAACAAATATAAATAAACAATTTGTTTATCTATAGGAAATATACAAACCAAGGATTATTTAAACCAGTAACTATAGTGGCATAGTTACAAAGGTAATTTGATAGTTTGTGCAAAAATCTTTGGAGTGACCATGTTTAGGCTCTTTATGGAATTTAATGCTATCTATGAATGGTCTGGTCACAAAGTATCAGTACTAATTTTACTAGGAAGAAGAGGATCATTTAATTGCATTCCTGTAGTGAAGTAAATTGCAGTAGTATTAGTGATCAGAGCAAAACACGGAAAAACCAGAAAATGTTCACTGAAAGAGATATCAGGAAAAGAATATGACCAGGCAAGATTCCCATTGCAGTTTCATCAAGGCTGAAACACCTAATAACAACTAATATCAGCATGTAATTCTAGTATTAATGGTTAATATTCCATATAATGGCAAACAGATGTGTTTTAAAGTTTCTCTGCTTGATACCTTGTCTCCTGTGGATGGTATGGTTTTTCTGCAGCCCATCTTATGACTCTCAGACAGCCCTATCAGGATATTAACTTGGGCTATTTTTAAGACAGTCTTGAAAATATTGCATTTTTTTTTTCTTTTCATCCCACACAGGATTGTCAAACTTTGAAATATGGAAATCTTCCCTAAAATAGGGTGGTTTCCCCCTTTCCTGACTTATCCAAGCTGCTTCTGTCCTGTGTAAGAACAGACAAACTCAGCATTTCTAATTGCTCCATTGACTGCTTTTATGTTCTTTTGTAGAAAATTTCTCATAGGATCTTTGTGATTATATTCTGAGTACTTTTTTGTCATATAGTTGGACATTTTCCCTTTGTCATCATTTTAACAAATTCAGATTGTATGTGTTCATGGTATTTTCATACGTACTATATTTCATTCTGACTTAAGTCTGTGTGAATCCTTAGAATTCCCACAAAGAACTATCCTCTACCATTTAATTTTATTCCCACTTTTTTATTTTTACATAGGAGACAAAAATGCTCTCAGGAATATTCTTCTTTACCACTTGACACAAGGAGTTTTTATTGGAAGTGGCTTTGAGCCTGGTGTAACAAATATTCTTAAAACCATCCAAGGAGGCAAACTCTACTTGAAAACAGTTAAGTATAGAAAATGTCTCCCTGCTGCAGCCTTGTAACAGAGATTTCATATTCCGTATATATCCACATTATAGAATGGCATTCATCTCTCCAAAGTTTATAATAGGTTTTGGTATTGTTTTCTAATGTCCCTGATAACTTGGGTTCTCTTATTTTGATCCTCTACCAGGTGAATGACACTCTTCTGGTTAATGAACTGAAATCAAGAGAATCGGATCTCATGGCAACAAATGGTGTCATTCATGTCATTGACAAGCTCCTATATCCAGCAGGTGAGTATTATTTAATGAAATTTGTACCCACTCTTTTAAATCTGTTTACATGCTTAGTAACTGCAATAACTTCAAAAAGGTAATCAATTTAAAGCTACAATTCCGATGTGGAATTTGAAACAGAAAATTTACCTCATTTTGTGGCAGAACCTTGCTTGAAGCCTTGACAAGATTTTGAAATTTTATGAAAGTAAAGTATATGAAAGACAAGGCTAGCCAGAGTCTACCTTTTCTGCTGATATGGAAAAATATATATCGAGTACACGCTTGTGTGAGTGTTTGAGAACAATTGCAGCTCCCGATCATTGTAAATCTAACTAAAATGTACACAGTTGTATATTTCCTCTTATGTGCCTATCTCTTTTGTCAGAACTGCCTGTTGGAAATGATCAGCTGCTCACAATACTGAAGAAGTTGATTAAATACATTCAAATTAAGGTATTATTTTAGTAATTATCCCTCTGTCTTTCTGGCAGGATCTATGAAACTGAGCACATTATAAGTCATAAATGATTCTCTGGTCCTTACTTTCTTCAGCAGCCAACACATTCAATAGCTCCCAGTTACCCAAATATAATCATGAATGATACCCTGAGCTCAACAGTTATGTTTTTCAATGCCAAATAATTGTAGAATATTTGCATTTGGATAACTTCAGTGTGAATTGGCCCAAATCTGCTCTTTAGCTCACTTTATCACTCTTGGAAAACAAATAACTTATTTTAAAAAATACCAAGTGACTAAATTCTTATGCCATTAAAGCCAGCAGCATCAATAACCTGTGAAGAAAAGCAGGCATCCTTGTCTATCTCAGCTATCCTCTTGGGATTATATTCTCCCTCAACAATGAATGAGAGAACCCAGAAAAATAGCTAACTTTTAGGTCAATGAAGCAGTGAATCCTACACACACTCATTAGGAAACTATAAGGAAAATGCTGCTTTTAAAAAAATTTATATAAATTGCTTTTCTGTTTTTATAGTTTGTTCGTGACAGTACCTTCAAAGAGATTCCACTGACATTTTACAGTAAGTTCATTTAAAATACTTCCAGATGAGTTGGATATTGCTTTTTAAGTGGTGCCAATTCCAATTTGGAATTGTGCATCTCTTTTTCAATAAAGAAGAAAGCAATTTCTGGGAAAGTAAGATGTGCCAATTAAGAAAAGGAAGAGAAAGACTCAAAGTAGGATGTTTCTGGCTGCTGTGCTACTGCATTTTTCCCTTTCCAGATGTGTGACTGGAAAGTAACCCTGAAGTAAGCTGTTTAAACTCTTGGGGTAGACAAGATACATATGGAAAAGATTGTTTTTCAGGCTTTAGCCAAGGTTTGGTTCTTGGTGCATAACAGAGTTGTATCTCTCTCTAAGATGTAGCATTGTACTGTACTCATTCTCAAAGATGCAGCATTGACTGTGCGCTGGGATAGTTTTTTTCCATAAATATTTCCAGAGGGATAAAGTGTACCTCGTGACCCTGTTTCCCATATGTGCAAATATGAGGCTTGAATGGGAGACAGTTGTTCAGAATATTTTCTCTTTAGGGAGTAAATGTAAAAAATACCCCTTTTAGCACTTTTGCAGCCTTTCTCAGGGTGTGCATTTAATTTCTGATTATAGCATATGTGTTGAAACAAACTGTTAGAAGACAAAGATCCTGCTGTAACCTTGTGAAGCAAGATGAATTTAAGCAAATTAAATTATTAAATTCTGATGGAGTCCTACCCATATTTCACAGTATAAAGTGCAACCATCACATCAGACTTCTGAAAATTGTGAATGGACATACTGAGTTTAAAAAACACTTGGAACAAAAAATGGAGTAACTGACCTTGATGACAAGTTCAATATGAGTCAACAGCGTTCCAGCAACCAAAGTAGCCAACTGTGTCCTGGGATGCATCAGGCACAGCATTGCCAGCCAGACATGGGAGGGGATGGGCCCACTCTGCTCTGCACTGGGGCGGCCTCACCTCGATTACTGAGGCAGTTTTGGGAGCCAGTTTTGGGCCCAGTGTCCAGAGGAGGGTGATCAAGATGCTGAAAGATCTTGAGATCAAGACTTTTGAGGAGCTGATGAGGTCACTTGGCTTGCTCATTTTGGATGAGAGAAGGCAGAGGGATGACCTCATTGCTGAGCAGTGACCCCATCTCAACCCATGCCTTCCCCAAGAAGGGCAGTGGAGGGGTGTGCTGGTCTGCTTTATGGTGACCAGTGACTGACGAAGGAAATAAAATGAAGCTGCTCTGGGAAAAGTTCAGATGGGACGTTAGAAAAAGGCTCTTTACCCAGAGGGTAGTCAGTCAATGGAACACAATCCTCAGGAAAGTGATCACAGCACCAAGCCTGACAGAGTTCAAGGAGCTTCTGGACAGCAGCCTTGGTCATATGGCTTAGTCTTCCTTCTCCTTTGAAAAAAAAGGAAGTTGGTCTTGATGATCTCTATGATTCTCTTCCAGCTTGAGATATTCTATGATTCTACCTCCCATGGCCAATAAGTGTAGCACAGGAAGCAGTGCCTGCAAAAATTAAGCCAGAGAGGTCAATGTGGACATCTAGAAAGCTGTAGCTGTAAGTTCAGTTGAGTGAAAGACTGGGAAGGCTGGAACCTCTATCAGTATTGGCTTCTCTAGTGGATGGGTATGAGTCAAATCACTATCAGAGGACTTCAATGAATATTTGAGTCTTTCCTGCGTGTAGAGGGACATCTTGATCTCTCAAGGGCATATTTTCTGTGATGTTCTGCCTATAGTTTTGAATGCCAGAAGGTTTCCTCTGTGTGCCTGATTAGCTCCTGAATGAAAAGGGCAATATTTAGGCATAAGGCATATAAGGGAATTGTGCAAAATTTTGCATGGGTAATTGTACAAGCCATCTCTATTATGTACCATATATCATCATGGGTACCATGACCCATGGGTTTCATAAAAGGCAAATACCATATCAGCAGATTTTGTCTGCGGTGACCTGAGTGGATCTCCATTTCATAACCAGAACCAAGATTCATACTCTAGATCCTTTTGTGTTGCTATTCCACCCATTAATATCTATGATTTTACCCACATCCTTATGAGCAGACCAAATCTAGCTGATCATTGCCTCAAATAAATTGTAAGAATGGAATACACTGTATATTCCATTTTCTATATTTTCAGAAATTAACATAATTGAAAGCAACGTCCAGCCTATCATCACAAAGGAAGGTAAATGAGGCCTGTGGTATATATATTTCTGCATATGTTCATATACATATTCAGAATATATCTTGACTATATTTCTTTAATGGGATGCATTTTATACCCAGCAACTCCAGGACACTAAGCACTTTGCTGGAAAAGCAAAGATACAAATATTGCAATTAGAACTGACTGAAATATTTTGTATGAAAAGACTATCCACGTTTTTTCTCCCCAAATGAGTTTTCTTCTTTTTCTATGGATGTTTAAAATATCTTAAATAATCTTTTTTTAACTGTTTATTTTATCATCTTTTTTTTATCAATTAAGGCACTTCCTTTTTTTTTTTTTT